CCCGAGTCGCCCCCTCTCCTCCCCCCGCCCCCCCAGCTCCATCCTCTGCCACCGCCCGAGCAGCTGCGGGGCCGCCGCCGCCTTTGCAGGTAACAGCTCCCCCCGCAACCCTCTCCTCGCTTTCGCCCCCTCCCGCCCCTTCCCCGGCAGGCCGGCCCTGCTCGCGGGGCCCGCCGCCCGCTCTCTCCCTCCCCCTGGGCGGGGGTGACAGCAGCGGCGGCGGCGGCGGCGGGTGGGTGAGGCGGGGGCGTCTGGGTTGTCACCGCGGGTCGGCGTGGGCGTGGGGCCGGGTCCCGGTGGGTGGGTCGGAGGCTTTGAGGGGGCGCGTGGAGGTGCAGGCCCGGGGATGATCGGCAGGGATGACCCCGACGCCCCCTCACTTTCTCGGAGGCGGGGGCGGCCGAGGAGGGGGTGTTCCCGGCCTAGCGGTTCGGTGCTCGGCGTGTCTCGGTTGCCCCGGCCCCGGCGCCTCTGCTCTGTGCTGCAACTCGCGCTGGCTTCCCCTCCGCCCCTCCCCGCCGGGCCGCGCGGCGTGGGGAGGGGGCGGCCGGCCGGGGCCGGGGGTGGCGGCGAGGTTATGTAACGCTAGCGGCCGGTGCCGAGTTGGTGTTTGGGTTGTGGGGGGGAGGGGCCGTCTGTGTGGCTGAGGTGCGGGTTGAGGATGCACCAGCGTCCCCCGGGGTCTCCTTCCTCCCGTAGACACCCACTCCACCCCACCCCACCCCGCCACACCCCGCCGCCGGCTATCGGGAAAAGAGACGGCGCTGAGGGGGTGCGGGTGTGCGTGTGCGAGGTGGGTAACGTGCAAGTCTGTGTTTTTAATAGTAGTGGGGTTTTGATCCGCTTGGGAGTTGTGTGCTAAGAATAGAAATGTGCGGAAGATGCTGGGTTTGGCTGATCCACTGATGCTGTCGCTGCTGCTGCTGCTGGCGGCGGCGGCGGCGGCGGCGGCTGCGGCTGCGGCTGCTGCTGCTGCTGCTGCTGCTCAGGCTGCAAGTAAACAAACCAGCTTCTTCCTTGTCCACCTCCTCCTCCTGCGCATCGGTCTGCATCAGCCATGATGCTGATAGTCCTGACGCTGAGGCTGGGTAACCCCTTGTTTGGGGTTTCCTGGGAATCTACTGAGGCTAGAGATAACTGGATCTCTTTAGGGCCAGGTTTTTCCAGTACCAGTATATATACTGTTTATGTTCTGAAAGCAGAAATGCCTACCCATAAGTCAAAGCTTGGATGATCTCGTTTCTCCATCGATAATGTTATGAAAATAAAACTCGTTTCACCGATGTGATATTTTTGGTAGAAAGGATGATCGATTGTAACTGATAAAAGTTTACAAATAGAAACTCCACAGTAAAATCAACTAATAGAATTGTCATACTTTTAGCGCAAACTGAAGCGAAATAGAATACTTTCATAGTTAATACATTACCAGTTGTCTCAAATCATTAGACATGTGTTCCATATTTGACAAAGCATGGTCATTCTTTAGAACTGTGACTTTGTAGACAGCTACTGCATTTTGTTTCTGGTAAAAACTCATTCATTGGGTTGTATATTCCCTTAGGAAAATGTTGGAAAGGAAAAGGTGGAAGAGTTCAGTGAAGATGGTTTAGAAGTGAAGACTGAGTCTCATTTGTAAAGATCCGAACATCCCAGGCGGTGCCTGCTTAAAGCTGGAGGTTTTTTTTGTTTTGTTTTTTGACAGGGTCTCCCTTAGTCCCAGCCCACCTGGAAGTCTCTTTGTGGACCAGGCTGGCCTCTATCTACAGAGGTCTGCCTGCTTCAGCCTCCTGAGGGCTGGAATTAAAGGTGCCCGGCATCGCACCCAGTGTTAAAACATGAGTTTTGAAAAATTAAAGTATCTACATAAATTGCTAGTTTTCCAGAATATTTGACCAGATACACTTATATGCAAGATGTACTTCAGACTTTTTTAAAATCACTATATAATCTTGATTCTCTGTAAAGATACACTTAAGAAAAAGCTGAGATTGACCCTAGTATCTATAGCTTGAGCTTCTGATTAAAGTGAGGAAGAGAATGCGTGTGTCATTTGAGTGCAGTTTTGGATGAGTGTAGGTTAGGTTTTGTAGGTAGGGTTTTGTTTTTCATTTAAGTTTGTACTGTATGCTGTTATAGTATTTTAAAGTTAATACATAGTTGAAAGTAATACTGCAAAAAATGATGAAGTTATTTGTATTCATTTTGTCCCCAACAGTTAGGTTTTCTGTAGTGGTTAGTGAATCATGTCCAACTTAAAATTGATTTTTTTGTTTAATCTTGACATTAAGTTGTGTGTGTGTCAGTATTTGAAGGCCCTGCTTTCGAATTTTTATTCATGTAATTACATTTATTATTATTACTTTGAAGTAAGGACTCCCTGTGTAGCCTAAGCTGCCATTGAACTTACTTTATAGCTTAGGCTGGCCTGGAACTAGGGATCCTCCTCCACCAGCTCCCCCAGTGCCGGATTAACAGGTGTGCACTACCATCACAGCCTTGTTTGGGTCATTTTTCAACTAAAATATCTTAAATAAGGTTTCAGTTACTGAGCAAATACTAAGAGATAAACTGTGTTGGGGTGGGTTGAGTAAGGTCTTTGCACTTCATTCAGAAGATGATTGCTAATAAAGTTTGTTTTGTAGAATCACTACTTCTAGATGCTGTTGGCTAAACTTCTGGGACAAATGTACTTATAAATTCTAGAGTTGGGATTTAGGAATTTTTAAAACTCTTGATTTTGATTCAAACATAGAAATGTTTGGGATTCTTTCAAAAGAGGAACCTGTTTCATAAATCTCCCCTTGTAGAAGCTTAGCTTTTATTTAAACTTCCAATGTATTTATGAAGAGATAAGCATTTCTACTTTGTATAGCCATTCAAGAACTGGTCCCTGGGATGAGGCAATTTCTATTAACAATGTGTTAATTGGATCCTTTTCATGATAAGATCTTGTCTTTTTGAGACAGGGTCTCTCTGTTACCCTAACTGAGCTGGAACTATCTAGACCAGGTTGGCCTAGAACTCGCAGAGGTTCATCTGCCTCTGCCTTCCAAATGCTGGGATTATAGGTGTGTGCCACTATGCCCAGCTAAGATCTTGTCTTTATAGTGATTAAGTTTGTTAGATTAGAACAATAAAATGCAAGACCAGGAAAACCACTTCTTTTGGTTTATTTTGTAATTTGACTTGAGTTTTTAATTAATTTGACTAATGCATATTTTGTGGCAGAATGTGTTAAAATGTTTAAGTACTTTAAAATGCTGACTGCAGATTTCAGCATGTGCATTAGTATTCTTAATCCCGGTTTAATACAGCGTATACTTTCACAAAGGTAGGCTAATGTTAACAGATATGTTATCATGGTCTTTTACATATAATCAGGTTAAATTCAGTTTCCAATTAATCATAGCCACTGCCCACAGAGGACTTACACTTTTATATGTGCTTTACATCTAATCTCCACAATAATCTTGCTGCTTTTTTGAAAGCAATTTTCACATGAGAAGAGCAATTATGGCATAAAAAAATCCACTTCATTTCAACTATCCTATTTTGAAACACTTGGTTTTTAACTTGTTTTCACCAGTTCTTAGAGTCCACAGGGACATTGCTAAGTTTGGATAATATAGTATAATAATAAATTCCAGATTCAGATTAATGCAGCTTCAAAAGGTATGCTCGTTGAACCACTAGCATTACTTTTTCCTTTCAGTTGTTTGCAGTGCCAAAATAAATACTTTAGCTGTTTAAATATTTTATTGTAGTGTCACCATTTTTCATCCAATTAGATGTAAACTTATTTCCTCTACAAGATAATCTTCATATAGTAGTTGGTGCATAAATTTACGTGCTATTGACCATGTGTTTTTAG